GTGGCTCCCACATGCTACCCTAACAATAAGGAAGACAAAAACAGAGAGCACTGTGTGGCCCAAGGTCAAGAGTGGGGGGAGGAGGGGTGGATTGTGAGACTTAGTAAGCAAGCTGAGCCTGAGCTCCCACTATGAGAAAAGATCTCGATTGAGGTTGGCCCCAGACCAAAACTTGAAAAGTAAATAAAGAATAAGGAAAGGGATAAGTCCAGTGGTAGAGAGGAAGGAAGGAAGGAAGGAAGGAAGGGAGGGAGGGAGGGAGGGAAGGAAGATTTAGAAGCTGTAGAGCTAAGATCCCAGGTGGAGACAAGGCTATGAAGTCTGGAGACAGGAGACATGCCGGGAAGCTGGGATCATAAGGAAATGAGTTTGGTGGTCAAAAATTAAGAGGCCAGCCAGTAGTGATCTGGGGTCAATGGTTACAAAGACATCGAGTCATCAAGCTGAAACTTAAGGGGGATGGGTGTTAGGGCAGGGGGATGGATTTGATTGGGCTTCTTTGGGGAGCATGGATGGGACTCTATGACACCCATCTTCCATCCCCTAGGCCCATTCCCAGACCGACTCCAGTGCCTCAACCTCTCCATCGTTTCCAGTGATACCTGCCAGGCAGTGTTTCCTGGGAGAATCACAGACAATATGGTGTGTGCAGGCGGCCTTCCGGGGAAGGATGCATGCCAGGTGAGCAAAGGAAGACTGTGCCCCCCAGGACCAGGACTGAGGAGAAAGGAGGAGGCTGAGAGCATGTTAGACAAGACAAGAAACAGGGTCAGGGGAGAGAGGTGCATTGAGAAAGGCAGGGAGTCTGAGAATAAAGAGAAGAAGAGACAGAATTCAAGGAAAGATGGGGGAGTGGACCCAAAATACAAGGGATGGAGAAGGGCAGAGAATCTGCCAGGATCTGGAACACAAGATGAGGATTAGAATCCACAGTCTTAAGTTTCCTCTATACAATCCAGCTCCAGAAGATTCTATCCCAGACCTCAGTCTGAGATTGAGATTGGGGAACAGAGACAGGAAGAGTGCAGTGGACTGTTTCATCCCTGATCCTGTCTCCTTGCCCTCTGGGGTATCCCACAGAGGAAGTTGAGCTTTCTTTCCTACAGCCAGGGAGCCAGCCACGGCCCTGAACAAAGCCCTCTATCTGGGATTGGTCGATGGCAATAGTGTTCTCTCTCCTGATTGGCCAAAGCCCCAGTCATTGTCTATGCTAACACAATTCTGCCCTCCTTCCCTCTGATTGGTCACTGAAGGTAGTATTCTCTTCACTCATTGGACAGAATTGCAGTCACTGTCCTGAATTAACCTTCTATGCTTTCCTCTTAGAGTCCTGCCTTCCTTCCTTGGGATTGGCCTCTAGGGGCAGTGTCTTTCCTTCTATCAGTGGTTGTCATTGTCTTCAGGTGTGCTCTTTTCATGAGACCAGGCTTGGAGTCGTCTTCAGCAAGGGCCTAGGGGTGGGCTGGGCATGGGGGAGGAAACAAGTGTGGGGATCTGTCCCTTATCCCCCCAGCGCTCTGCCTTCTGTTTTCTAGGGTGACTCCGGGGGCCCTCTGGTGTGTGGAGGCGTCCTTCAGGGCTTGGTGTCCTGGGGTTCCGTGGGACCTTGTGGGCAAAAAGGCATCCCAGGAGTCTACACAAAAGTGTGCAAATACGTGGACTGGATCATGATGGTCATGAGGAACAACTAGCCTGTGCCACACATCCAAGGACCCCTCTGAGCCTCAGATCCCAGACCTCTTCTCCTCTGATGCTCTCAGCCCTACTCTTGTTGAGCTGGGGAAACTTTTGGGGACCTCTGAGTCCAGGCATCCACATCCCTTCTGGTACTTGGAGCTGGGTGAGCTGGATATGGTCTGGAATAAATGTCATATCAATGAAGAATGGGCCATGTCTGTCTCTTTGTCCTTAGATGATCTGAGGTCAGAAGGAGGCCTCATACAATGCTTGATAAGAAATGTACTCATTATCTTGCCCATGTAATTGTAACCCCTCTGTACAATATTTTCATAATAAAAAAAAGGAGGCCTCACCAGATAGCAGATAACTGGGGGCCAGGGGTGGAGCACTCGCTTTGAGTTCAATCCCAGTACCACACGTGCACGTGCGTGCGCGTGCACGCACACACACACACACCTTTCAGAAGATATCAGAAAAGAAGGAAGTTTCTTCAGGGAAACAGAGTAGAAAAAATTACTTCCAACAATAAAATGAAGGGTGTTTTTCCTCTGAGTGTGACAGACATAGTACTCAAAGTACGTAAAATTTTCAATGGCTTGAGAACTAGAAAAGGAAAAAAAGAAAGAAAGAAAACTGTTTGCTCTGAATTACTAAGTGAAAATTACAGAATTTGACTGGGCAGGATGGCTCACACCTGTCATCCTAGCTACTCAAGAGGCTGAGGTCTAAGGATTGAAGCCAGCTGGGACAGAAAAGTCTGTGAGACTCTTATTTCCAATTAACCACCAAACAAGCCACAAGCAGAGCTGTGGCTGAAGTGGTAGAGTAGCAACCTGAGTTCAAGTCCCATTATCAACATAAGAGGAAGAAAGATGGAAAGGAAAGGAAGGAAGGAATTTTGGATTTAGCAAACTATAAAACATTTTCCCCCATAACCAATGTGTGCCAAGCATACATTGTATTTAGCAGGTTTTCATAGCCATTGACTTTACATATCTGCAATAGTCCAGGTTGGAAAGCACGACACCTAGGTCTTGGCCTCTTGTTCTGGCTCCACCTTGTCTTCAGGGATTTGAGGATCACTTCAGGGGCACTGGGGGTGAGAGGGAGGCAGAGCCTCGCCTGCCGAGCCTCGCTCCTCTAAGCCTCACTGGGCTGGATCTTTCCAGCACTTTCCTGCAATCTTCATCCCACCCCCACCTTCCCCCCCGGAGGCAGGGCCGGCAGCCCCATCTTGCAGATGAAGAAACTGAGCCTCACCGGGGTGGAGTCCCTGCCCCACGTCAGTCACCAAGGTAGGAAGAGGCCGAGCCGGAGTTTGAGGTCAGAGCCCAGGCCTACCCCGCCTTGTTCTGCATCTGGTGACGGGTGACAGAAGAGTAAGCTCCAGGAACAGATCTGACCGAACACAAACAAGCCGAGAGAAGTGGGGATCCGCACCCAGATTTCCCAGATGAGGAAACTGAGGTGTCTGAAGGATTGGCAGGCATCGAGCCGGGTTCACCCAGCATCGAGTAAGTGCACAGCTGACCCAGATGTCTGGTGTTGGAGGCCTGATTGGGGAGGGGGGGGACAGGGAGGAAGCCATAGAGAAATGAGGTCCTAGAGAAAAGGGGGGGTTGGAGGCCTCTGGGGAGGGTTCATCTCCCTTCCCTGGGCCTTGGCTCTCACAGGCCTCGACCTGTCTCCCCCTCCCTCCCGTCCTGCCCCTTTGCCTGGCAGCAGTCCCACCTCTGTGACGCCCCAGTTCCCCCTGCATCCACCTTGGAGAGGAGGAGGCCAGGGATCGTCTGGGTCTGGGCTCTGACCAGGGAAGGGCTGGGCAGAAGGAGACACACAGGGACCTCGGTGAAAAAGATTAGCTACAGTCCAAGGAGCCAGAGAGGGATGGAGAAGGAGAGAGACAGAGAGATGGAGACTGACTGACAGACAGAGACTAAGAGAGAGACAGAAACAGTGAGAGAGAGAGAGAGAGAGAGAGAGAGAGAGAGAGAGAGAGAAAAGAAAGAAAGAGGAGACACAAAGAGGAAATAATAGGGATAGAAACCTAAAGACAGGAAAAAAAAAAGATCACACAGAGAGGACGACAGTAAGACAAGCAACGAGAGGGAGGCAGAGTTGGGAGAGACAGGCAAGAAAGAGAAGGCTGTCCACCCACAAACAGGCGGACACAGAGTAGAGGGGTTTAGAGAGGCCACAGAGAAAGGCAGGCAGCTGGGTCTCAGGGCCCTGGCCTGGGGAGGGCCCCCTAACACCCTACCCCCAGGGCGATAAGGCAGGGCTTGGAGGCCAATCAGCCTGGGCCCGCCCCGGGCCACCCCCTGCCCGCCCTCCCTCCCTCCCTCCCTCCCTCCCTCCCGCCCGCCTGCCCTCCCTCCCGCCTAGTGCCTGGTGCTCCGACACAGCCTGCCAGCAGCTGTCACCGCCGGGCCCCTAGAGCTCCAGCCCCAGAGCCTGTGAGTCGGGAGGGGAGGGAAGCCCCCTTTCCAGGAGCCTGCCATCCTAGACATGGCCCATACCCCTCTCTCCCTCTTCTCTGTCTGGCCCTTCTTAGTTGGTGGGGTGTCGGGTGGAGGGGAAGGGCTTTCTACCTCTCTGTGTGCCTGCCACTTCTGACTACCTGCCCCTAAACTTGATGCCCTCTGACCTCAACCCCAATGACTAAGTCCAGCCCTTTACCCCACCCCCGCTGGCCAGGGCAGCCCAGGGCACCGGCCCTCCCTCCCCCAGCCAGCCCCACCCAGTTGTGTCCATCTGTCCTTCAGAGGACCCGGGGTTCAACCAGGAGGAAGGGAGGAGAAGGGGTTTGGGACCCCCAGCCCCACACAGAGCCCCTCCTTCACTGGGGACAAGACTCACAGGCTCACAAAAGTGGGGGGATTACTGAGTGGTTGGCCCCCTGCCCTCCCCCTCACTGTCCCACCCCCAAGCCTGGGACCCGGCTGGGTCTTATAAGCCAGAAAGAAGACACCCCTCAAAATGTGCCCAGGAGGCCCCTCAGCTGACTGAAACAAGGCCAGCCTAAGACTTGCCCCACCAAGCCCTTCCCAGCTGCTTTTCAACACCCTCCTTGGCATTCCGGAAGCTTCTAGCTTGGATCTTGCTCCCCCCCCACACACTCCCTGCCTTTCCAAGGCCTCTTGAAAAGTTTAAGATCTATGTTAAGGTTTGGAGATTGTCTGCAGGGGCTTCTTGCCCCAGTCCTGACTCTCCCCGGGGGAAGCCGGCAGGGAGACAGGAAAGGCCATGGGTGATGAGCCCTCTCTTCCTCCTTGTTCCCAGAGGCACCCGGGGCCTGCCCCGCCCCCCTCCAGGCCGCGATGATTCTCCAATTCCTCACTCTTGCTCTGGTGACAGGTACAGGGGTGGGGGGATGGGGTGGGCAGGGTCTCCCCCCCTTCCTATCCCAGCACAGCTGAGGCTCCAAACACAGGACAACCCATATGATGTTTGCATGGTGACAGATAACCCTGGGCTATACCAGACAGCCCCCCCTTACCATCAGAGGCAGTCAGAGGGAACCCCGAGGGCCCAGGAAATGGGGGGGAGGGGACATGGGTCACTGGAAGTACTCAGGACCACCATTTACTGACCCCACCAAGATGGAAATGCTTCAGGTCTTTCCTGCCTGGCCACAGCCTTCCAGCTCACCAGGTTGAGACTCTCGGAGCACCCACCCTCTCCATCCCTGGCCACCCTGGACTCTGAGAGTCCTGGAGCTTCTCCTCTTGTCCCACCTAAGGCCCTCCTTCGGTCCCCACCCCTGCAGGGCATGTAGGGGGAGAGACCAGAATCATCAAAGGGTACGAGTGCAAGCCTCACTCCCAGCCCTGGCAGGTGGCGCTGTTCCAGAAGACGAGGCTCCTCTGTGGGGCCACCCTCATCGCCCCCAGATGGCTCCTGACCGCAGCTCACTGCCGCAAGCCGTGGGTGCGGGGGCTGGGGCGGGGCTGGGAGGGGGCGGGAGCCGGAGGGGTGGGGAGGGGGTGGTAGCAAAAGAAGTTGGAGATGGAGCCTGGGGTGCAAGCAATGGCACACTGAAGATGGTGGGCTGGGGGCTGGGGGTTCCCATGGGCGAGAGGTTTGGAAGAACCCTGGGTTCTAGAAGGTGTCATTTCCCCCCCTTCCAGTGCACCCCCACCTTTCCGTCTCTGACCACATCTCTCCCACCTCAGCCGTTACCTGGTCCTCCTGGGGGAGCACAACCTGCAGCGGCAGGACGGCTGTGAGCAGAGGCGGATGGCCACCGAGTCCTTCCCCCACCCTGGCTTCAACAACAGTCTACCCAACAAGGACCACCGCAACGACATCATGCTGGTGAAGATGACATCGCCAGCTGTCATCACCCACTCCGTGCGGCCCCTCACCCTGTCACCGCACTGCGTCGCCGCCGGCACTGACTGCCTCATCTCCGGATGGGGCACCACGTCCAGCCCCCAGTGTAGGGGCTCCGGAGGGAAATGTGGGGGGGGGGAGGGAGGGAAGGGGTGGACATAAATGTGGAATGACACAGGGCACCAAAGGACCCTCCAAGATGAGATTTAGAGGGACACAGGACAGGGTACTGGGGGGACATCTGTTAGTGAGATCAGACAAATGAAAGATCCAAAAGTCAGAGCTGAAGAGGGTGAAGACAGAGAGGAAGGGGCACTGTGGTCATGCCTGTAATCCCAGATACTCAAGACACAAGACAGGGAGAATTGCTGTTCCAAACCAAGGGAACATATGAAATCAGGTGTGTTGGTGCTTATCTGTCAGCCCAGCTATGTAGGAGGGTGTAGGTAGAAAGAGCCTATTCAAAAACAAAAAGAAAACAAAAGAAAAATTTTAAACACTCATGAAAGCAATAAAGGTCTTCAGACGTGGCTCATGAGATACAGCACCTGCATGACAAACAGAGGGTATGAGTTCAAATCTAAGTACCAGCAAGAAGAGAGATGGTTGTGATATGTGATCCCAGCACTGTAACTCCCTAGTATAAAGTCTCCCGGAAGGGCCTGGCCTCTCCAGATTGCTTTTCTTCTCTAGTAAATGAGAATCCACACAGCCACCAGCAGAATTAGAGTAGAGAGAGCCACAGAGGGAATGGAATCAATCTATTCCTGTTGCCATTGCTACAAGCAGAGAGATGAACCGGCTGCAGGAGCAAAGGCCCAGGGAGGAGAGGCAGGGTCCCTCGCCCACCCCTGCCCTGTCCGTGCTGTCTGTCTCCACAGTGCACCTGCCTCATTCCCTGCGATGTGCCAATATCTCCATCATTGGACACAAGGAGTGTGAGAGCGCCTACCCTGGCAACATCACGGACACCATGCTGTGCGCCAGCGTTCGGAAAGGGGGCAAGGACTCGTGCCAGGTGAGCAGGCTGGGCCCAGCCTCGCACACCTCCAGCCCTAGCCCCAGCTTTGAAATCTACACACAGCCACAGCCACAGCCCCAACCTCGACCCACCCATTTCCCATTGATATTCCCCACCTGAATGTGATCGCTGGGCCCATGAGCACCCCCACGTCCAATCCCAGCCCCAACCACCCCCAACCTACCACCAGCCCAAGGAACAGCCCTGTCTTCTGTACCCCACCTCTGCCGCCACCCATCTGGGTACCCCCTCCTTTCCCCTGACTGGGTCTTTCTCTCTCCTGCCTCTGCCCAGGGTGATTCCGGAGGCCCCCTGGTCTGTGACGGGTCCCTCCAAGGCATTATCTCCTGGGGCCAGGATCCCTGTGCAGTGACCAGAAAGCCCGGGGTCTACACGAAAGTCTGCAAATACGTGGACTGGATCCATAAGACGATGAAGAACAACTAAACCATGAGATGATGGAAGGACAGTTGCCACAAGCCGGCTCCTTCCGTGTCTCCCTTGTTCGCAATCCAATTTCAGTTCTTTCTACCCATCAGAAACCCTAAGCCAGAGCCGCCTCCCCACTCAGGGTGCTGCTTCACAGCTGTCAGCACCCCAGAGACCTGGGGCTTTAGAGTAAGCTGTGATTCTGGAGTTAACAGTGGTTATTTTGTTCTGTGTTCTCTTTAGCCCCAAGGATAGTTCCTGGAATTAACCAAAGTTTCAATAAAATAATGTCAGATGAATGAATGAATGGACTGAGTGCTTATTATGGGCGGGGTCTGGGCACTGCTGGCTCCCGTTGGTCATCCTAGCTACTTAGAGGCCTGAAGATGGAGGCTCAAAGTAAGCCAGCCTGGGCAGGAAAGTCTGTGAAACTATTTCCAATGAACCACAAAAAAAACCATAAGTGGAGTCGTGGCTCAAGGGGTAGAGTGCCAGCCTTGAGGGGAAAAGCTAAGGGATAGCACCCAGGCCCTGAGTTCAAGCCCCAGTACACACACACACACACACACACACACACACACACACACACACACACACACACACACACACACACCAAAAGAAAAATCAAAACTACATGAAATCAGAAATGTAACTTCTTGACACAAATAATGCAGATGATCAGGGCGACTGTAATAGAAAGCAAAACCACAGGCAGAATATTGTTGTCACAAGGTGTTTGATTGAACAGCTGAGCTCCACCACCTCTAAAGTTACCTCAATTCTTTGTTTCTTATTTATCGCTTTCTACCCTGTCACCCTTTGGTGGTGCTAGGGTCTGAACCATCAGAGCCTTCTGCAAGACAGGACCTCTATCACTTGAGCCATGACTCTAGCCTTGTTTTATTTTTCAAATACCGTCGTAAGTTTTTGTCCAGGTTGGCCTGGACCTTAGTCCTCCTGTTTATGCTTCCTACGTTACTGGTTCCCATCAATTTGCCCAGCTGATCATACGAGATAGGTTGCTGACTTTTTCCAAACTTGGGCTGGTTTTAATCCACCATCCTTCTGATCTCTGCTTCCCAAGTAGCCAGGATCACAGGTGTGAGCCACCACACCTGGCTTTAACTCAGTTCTCGATGGACTGAATGTTGCCTGAGTCGTCTAGGTGCTCTGCTCATCTTCTGGGCTTGGTGGCTGGCACGAGGAGGAAGAGTCCAGAGCTGAAACTAAGGCCTTCTGGTTGTTGGGTGGACTGTCTGTGAGTCATGTCCTTCCTGACCCTTCCATCCCTCACTCAAAAGGAGGGAGGTGGCCATAGTCATGTTGATACCCTTGCAGCCCAGGCCTCCCGTGATTCACGGGCCTGTGCGTCACCTGGAGATACAGGTGGTAGGGAGGGTGTGAGGCGGCTGCACGCAGGTGTGATGGCATCATCGTCCCTTGGCATGCACAGGACTGGCCACTGGGACACAGGTGGCCCTGTCCCATCCACAGAATGCTGTGCCCCTCCATGCCCCTCCTGGGTCCCCTTCCCGCTCCCTCATGCTCTGTCTCTTAGCTTAGGCCTCTCTGCCTGCACCACAGCCTCCCCCCCTCTCTGCCTTCCCCCCCAACTCCCCTTCTCTCAGCCTTGGTTCCTCTCAGCCATGGGGAACTAGTCTCTGCTCTTCCCTTTCCCTGAGCTCTCAGCCTCCCTCCCTACTCTTCTGGATTCTGGCTTTTCTCTCCCTCTCTTTCTCCCTCTAACTCTCTCTCTAGTTCATTTCCTATCTAAGTGACCATCACCATCACCCTTCCCCCACCACCCAGATCCCTGGAGCCTTGGAACACCCCCCCCCATCCAGTATCTGGGATCCACATCTGGGAAGACTTCTGGGTAGGGTTCCCCACCCCCCAGAATCCAGCTCCTCAAAGGCTATTTCCGGGGGAAGCCAGTATTCCAGGGCCCCGCCCAGGACAGGAATCTGAGGCCCAAGTTGGGTGCCAGCCCCACCCACGTATAACTGGGGAGAGAGAAAGGGAGGGAGGAGGGAGTCCCTGGGGGTAGGGTGGGGAAGCTTCCGGGATCTTGAGGGTTAAAAGGGAAGATCTGGCAGGGGTCTTGGGGCAGAGGATTCAGGGAGCCCACACACCGCAGGGCTGGGAAGCTCTGGGTCTCCGCCCTGCTCTCTTATTGGCGACTCCAGGTGATGCCGTGCCCTCTCCTGGCTGGGGTGGGGTGCCCCAGAATGGGTGGCGGACCCTTGGGCCAAGGGCAGGTTCCTTGCTGGTGCTTCGATTTCCCTATCCGCAGGATGGGGAAGTCCCTCATCTGGGAGGTCTGGGAAGAGCCCCCCCACTGGCTCAGAGCCTTGGCCTCCACCCCATCCCCTGCCGTGGGGGTGAAACGGGGGGCCTGGGCGCGGCCAACCGCCAGTCCGGGCAGCCAGGGCACAGAGAGAGCTGGCCTCAGGCATGGGGAGGACCGCAAGGTGCCGGGAGGGACCTCAGCGGTACTGCACTCTGCAGGCCCTGGCGCGGTCTTAGCTGGGCTGGGGCAGCCCAGGCTCAGCAGACAGGGCCCCCAGAGGTGGGGGGAGTGTCTCAGGAGGAGCATCTGTTTTATCCCTCTCTGCCTCCCCAGCCCAGCTCCTAGTCATGAAACCCCTGCTCCTCTCCGCTGGCCCTGGCACACAGGCCCTGGTGAAGCTGCTGTTGCCGCTACTGGTGGCACAACTCTGGGGTGAGCTGGGGGACAGAAGACAGAGGACGGGGGCAGGTGGACAGGGGATGGGAAATACGGGGACAGAGGACTGAGGACATGGGGCAGGGGAGCAGAGGACAGGAGACAGTGGACAAGGGACGGGGGGACAAGGGGACAGAGAACAGGGGATGGGATGGGGGCAGGAGGGCAGGGGGACAGGGGATAGGAAATACAGGTACAGGGGACTGAGGACACGGGGCAGGGGAGCAGAGGACAGGAGACAGTGGACAGAGGACAGGGGACGGGGGGGGGGAGAAGGATAGGGGGCAGGGAGCAGAGAACAGGGGACGGGATGGGGGACAGGAGGGCAGGGGGACAGGGGATGGGAAATACAGGTACAGGGGACTGAGGACACGGCGCAGAGGAGCAGAGGACAGGGGACAGGACAGGGGGCAAGAGGACAGGGGGACAGAGAATAGGGGACAGGATGGGGGTCAGGAGGACAGGGAATTTGGGCGGCGGGAGCGCTGGGATTGGAGAGGGGGCGGGAGCTATCGCCGATTCTAGGACCCCCGGCCCAGCCCTCGAGCTCACGGGGTAGGGAGTGGAGGATAGTGGGTACAGGGGCTCTTCTAGCTCCATCCCTGGGTGTCCCGCCCCACGGAGAGCCCGTCCCTTCACCGCTGGGACCTCTGCTTCCCCGCGGCGTTTCTCTCCTCTCATTCTGACCCTACTCCTCACTCCACCCTAGATTGTCCCGCCCAGCCCTCCCGCTCTTTGGCCCTTTCCCCTTTTCCTTTGCTATCTGATGACCCCCACCCCTTTTCTCGCCCAGCCTTCTAATCCACCGGCCTCTGGCCACGCCCCTTTATCTCACATTCCTTCTTTCCCCGCCCCCTCACCTCCAACCATGTAGCCCCGCCTTGTCTCCGCCCCCTCCTCTGTCACTCTGCCTTGTCTCCGCCCCCTCCGCTACCGCCCCGCCTTGTCTCCGCCCCCTCCTCTGTCATTCTGCCTTGTCTCCGCCCCCTGTCACTCTGCCTTGTCTCCGCCCCTTCTGTCGCTCCGCCTTGTCTCCGCCCCCTCATCGCCTCTGCGTGTTCTCGCCTGCTGTTTTCTCAGGCTGTTTGCACCCCGCTACCTCTCTACTGTGTCCTGGCCAACCTGTCCTGTTTCTGCCACGCCCCCAAGTCTCTCCGCCCCCCACTCACACGCCTTTCTCCTCCACCCACTTCTCCCCTCCCTCGGGTTCCTGCTCGTTGCCCTTAGCCGATCCCAGGCCCAGCCCTCGCCCCTGCTAGCTCTGACCTCTGCCTCATCCCCTGTTTCTCTGCAGCTGCCGAGGCGCTGCTCCCTGGAAACCTCACGACCCCGGACGCAGCGGCCTTGGGCGCCCCGTGCGCGCGTGGCTCGCAGCCCTGGCAGGTCTCCCTCTTCAACGGCCTGTCCTTCCACTGCGCGGGCGTCTTGGTGGACCGGAGCTGGGTGCTCACTGCCGCGCACTGCTGGGACAATAAGTAGGGGTCTCCCCGGAGGGCCATGCTGGGGATGAAGGGCACACTCCCTGAGACACGCCCCTGGCGGACACGCCCCGCCATTGGATGACACTCCCCCTCAGACACGCCTATTGGATGACACGTCCCCTAAGGGCCCGTCCCCAGAAAGCCCATTGAATGACACGCCCCCTGGAGGCCACGCCCCCGAGGGGCGGGGACGCGCTGCGCGGGTGGCTGAGCCCGGCCGCCTAGTCCCAGCCCGGCTTCGACAGCAGGGGGCGGCGCGGGCCTTCCCGGTGTTCCCCGCCTGGCTCCTGGTTCCCTGTGGGCGTGAAAGGCACTGAACGAAGCACTGGCGCTCTAAACTAAAACAAGCCCCCATCCCGCCAAGTCCCCGCCGGGGAGGCCGGGCTGCATCCCCGGGGTTCGCAGCCACTCCTGACACCGGGGTTCCCGCCCCACCCCGGCCCGACCCCCCCCCCGCGCCCCTCCTGGGGACCCAGCCCTCCAAGGTGGATTTTCTCCCCCAGGCCGCTGTGGGCTCGAGTCGGGGACGACCACCTGCTGCTTCTCCAAGGGGAGCAGCTGCGCCTGGCTTCCCGGGCTGTCGTCCACCCCAAGTACCGCCGGGGCCCGGCCCCGGTGCTGCCCCGCCGCACCGACGACTACGATCTCATGCTGCTGAAGCTGGGCCGGCCTGCAGAGTTGGGACCCCGCGTGCAGACGCTGCGGCTGCCGCTCAGCTGCGCCCGGCCTGGGGACACCTGCCACGTGGCCGGCTGGGGGACCACCGCCTCCCGCAGAGGCAAGAGCTGGGGCCCAGGGCTCAGGGGCAGAGCCTGGGCCTGGATCCCCGGGTCTGAGGGAGGAGGCTGGGCCTGGACCCCTGAGTCTGAGGGAGGAGGCTGGGCCTGGGGCTCATCAGGCACATTCCTCTTCAGTGAAGTACAACAGAGGCCTGAGCTGCTCCAGGGTGACAATCCTGAGTTCTAAAGAGTGTGAGGTTTTCTATCCGGGAGTGATCTCCAGCAACATGATCTGTGCAGGACTAGACAGAGGCCAGGACCCTTGCCAGGTAGGAGCTGACCTCAAAAAGGTCTCTGCCTTGCAGAGGGCGTGGAGGGGGGGGGACTGCTGGGAGATGATGGAGAGATGGCCCAGGATGGCCCACCCTGCCCCACCCCACCCCCCCTTGCCCCACCCCTACCTCACACCCATGTTCCACACATTCCTAGCAGATGCCCCGTCCCTTCTCCTGGCCCTTCTCCATATCCCGCCTACCATGAGCCACAGCCCCAACTGGAACCCCAGCACACCTCCATTCTCCCTTCCCAGCCCCAGACCCCCAAGTCCTCCTCCTCCCTCACCAGTACACCCCCAACCTGGTCCCCAACTCCCACCCAGCTGAGTCCCACTGCTGTTGAGACCCCACCCCTTCCATCCTGTCCCTCCCTGGATGGCAGGGGCAGGTCCCACCTTCGCTCTCTCCCTGCAGAGTGATTCCGGTGGCCCTCTCGTGTGTGGGGAGACCCTGCAGGGTGTCCTGTCCTGGGGCATGTACCCCTGTGGCTCCGCCCAGCACCCTGCCGTCTACACCCGGGTCTGCAAGCTGGTCCAGTGGATTGAGAAGACCATACGCTCCAACTGACCCCTCCACAGCCCCCACAGCCCCCCCACGGCCCCCACCTCATACCTGGGAGCACCTGCCCCTCGCTCCTCCTCCTCCTGCCCACAGGAGCCCAAGGGCAGACAGTCAGTGTCATTTGTCCAGAGAAGCAAGAAAGCAGATAGTCTCCTGGAAGTTTCTGGAGCCATGACACCATGGCTTCCTCTACCGCTCGCTGCTGTATGCCCTGGGACAAGCTAAGGCCCTCTCTGAGCCCTGGTTCTCCCCCTTACAAGACAGAGACCATGCAGTGCCCATCTCTTAGCCACAGTGTACGTGAATCTTTGTAATGATTGGGGAATGCTGAAGGCAGGGAGCCACAAGCATGGAATAAACGTTACCTGCCCACGAGGGCCTGTAACTATGTAGGGGATAAGGGCGTGGCAGTCTTCATTCCCAAACATCTGCAGTCCCCAAGGGCTGATGGGAAAACCCTGTCCCTCACTCCCCAGTGACGGGGTCCAGACAATGTCTCATTCCTGTGTCCTAGCCAGGCTGGCTGGGACTCTCCTGGTCTCCCCTCTTGGCTTTCATGAGGCAAGGTGCCAGCCTTGAGAACAAAATAAGGGAAATTGCCCAGGCCCTGAGTTGGAGCCCCAGGACTGGCACACACACACACACCTGTAGTTGGTTTATTTTTAATTTTTCTGGGATTCTCCTCCCATGGACACTGTCTCTATAAGTATTTCTCTCCTGGGAGGGATGGGAGTGAGGTTACCCACAGAGCCCAGGCAAAACTAGTAGGCAGCCCCATGTGGCCTGATGAGACTCTTGAACTCCAATGAATGAGCAAAGAGCTCAAAGTGGAGCCATGGCTCAAGTGGTTGAGCACCAGCCTTGAGGGGGGAAAATAGCTAAGAGAGATCACCCAGGCCCTGAGTTCAAGCCCCAGCACACACACACACACTCTCTCTCTCTTTCTCTCTCTCTCTCTCTCTCTCTCTCACACACACACACACACACACACACACACAGAGTCCACCTGCTTTGGTGTACTCTTTCCAACATCTGTTTTATGTGTTGTTGTTTTTTTTGTTTTTGGTTGGTTGTGGGACTTGAACTTTGGGCTTGGAAGCTGTCCCTCAGCTCTTCAGCTCAAGGCTAGTGCTCTACCACTTGAGCTACAGTGCCACTTCTGGTTTTCTAGTGGTTTATTGGAGATAAGGAGTCTCACAGAGTTTCCTGCCCAGGCTGGCTTTGAACCCTGATCCTCATATCTCAGCCTCCTGAGTAGCTAGGATTACAGCCTGAGCCATGGGCACCTGTAATCCAGCCCAACATCTGTTTGTAAAGCAACTACTGTATGCAATCCCAGCAGGGTTTGGGAGGGGGTGGGGTCAGGGGAAGTCCGGTGTCTGAGGTCTGAGCATGAGGTCTGGGCGATGTCTCCCTGGGCTGGCTCTTCCTCACCCAGTCTCCAACAGCACACCCAGGAAATGTCAGGCCCGCATGCGTAGCAGCCAGCTGCATCATCCGGGCATCAGAAACAAAAGAGGCGGGAAATGTGCTCACTGGATTTCTGCACTAAAGCGATCCACCAATTCTCTTCACTCCCTCCATGGTGTTTACTGACTGGGTGCCAGTCACCACACCCTGTCCTCAAGAAGCTGCCCATCAGGTTGTGGAGATGAGCAAGCCATACATTCTTGTCATTCAGGTCCCTCTACTCAAGGGCCACTTCCTCCAGGAGACCTTCATGGATTGCCCTGGGAAAGGAGGATGGCCAATAATCTCATTTGCTTATTTCTTTCTGTCCTTTTCTCCTTTTTTCCTCCTCCTCCTTCTCCTCTTTCTTCTTCAGCAATACTGGGGATTGAATTCAGGGTCTCTTGATTTCTATATAACCACTCCACCACTTGAACCACACCCTCAGACCTTTTGCTTTTAGTTGTTTTTGTTGGTTGGTTCCACATAGAGTCTTCTGCTAACTTTGCCCTCGCTTGGCCTCTGCCTCTGCCTCTCTGAGTACATGCTGGGTTTATAGACACGTGCTGCCATACCCAGCTCATTTTCCAGAGAGGGTCTGGCCTTGAACTTCCATCCTCTTGTCTCCATTCCTGGAATGGCTGGGACTGCATGCACAGCTACGCACAGCTGTTTATTTCTTTTGTAGTGCTTATTACAGCTCAAATTATCTCATTCACCTGTTTACCTGATTATTGTCTGTATATCCCCGTCCCCACTCCCACCCCAGCACCCACACAAAATCAAGGCCGGCAGAGCTGTAGATCCTTGCTCACTGCATTTTTCTAAACACTTACCCCAGTGTCTGGCACAAAACACACTGAGGACTGGCCTGGAACACAAATGCGACAGTGTTGTCACAGAGGAAGTACCAGCCATACCTTGGAGAGTCAGAGAAGGCTTTTTCACAGGAGGGGACATTTGCATAGGGTTTGAAAGGTGAGGTTAGAGTTCACCAGCTAGAGAAGAAAAGCTTTTCTGTCACTGATATGTGGCCTTGAGCAAGTGACCTGAATGTTCTTCCTACCATAATTTCTCCCTCTGAATTAAGCAGGGTCCAGCCCCTGGTCTCCAGGACTTTCTTGTCTGGAGAGGGAATTCACGTGGCTGTGGGTGGTGGGTTCTAGAAAGTTCTGTGAGATTCATTTATTCAACATTCATACGTGTCACTCTCCTCCCCTCTCCTGGGGTCCTGGGATGGATCCCAGAGCCCTGAGTACCCTCAGTAAATGCTCTCCCGTTTGGTCCATACCCCTAGCCCTTTCATTTATATTTTGTTTTTGAGGCAGTTTCTGAGCTGGCCTCAAACCTAAGACCCTCCTGTTGTACATCCACGGTAGCTGGGGGTACAGGCATACACTACCTACCCCTCGTCTTGCAAGTGCTTCATAGGTGTCCATTCACATGGTCCCTCCACACTTTTGACAGATGGAGTGACTCAGAGAGATCTGAGGTCTTGACCTAAGTCACAAACCAATACAGAGCCAATCAAGAGCACCAGACACAGGTGGTCCAGTCCTGGACAATATGGTCCAAACAGCAAAAGTGGACATAACTGAGGGTGCCTAGTTAACCTTTGCCTGGAAAAATCAGAGAAGGCATCTTGGTGGAGGGTTATTTAGGTTGGGTCTTGAAGGATGAGTAAGAGTACGTCAGAAAAAAGAAGGATATGGAGAAAGATGTTCACTCATTCAATTAACATCTCTTAAGGACTCCTGAGAGCCCTGCCCAGGACTGGGTGATCCTGGGGACACAGAGATGAGTCAGACCAAGAGCTGGGAAACATGCAGCCAGTGCACTCAGGAATTGGCAAAAATCTGGAAGGATTATTAACAGAGAAGGTAGGGGGAAGAGCAGCTGTTTATGCCTGTAATTCCAGCCACTTGGGAGGCTGGGATCTGAGAGGATCATGGTTCAAAGCCAGCCCAGGCAAGAAAGCCAGTGAGACTCTTATCTGCTGTGAATGGCAGAAAGCTGGAAGTGCAGCTGTGGCTCAAGGGGTAGAGGGCTAGCCTTGAGCAAAAGAGCTCAGTGGTGGTGCCCAGGCTGTGAGTTCAAGGCCCAGTACCAATACAAGATGGAGGTGGGGAGGGGGTACTTGGTTTCAAGTGGGTACACAAGCACCAGGGTCCTTGATGGGAGGGGGCGGGGTGGAGGTGCAGAAGGGACAGATGGTGGCAAGTTTGGGTCAATCTTGATTTCTCCTCATTGTAGGCACGGCCTGGGTGCTGGTGGGAAGGGGCTCCCTCCACCCAGGACAGGGGTTGGAGGAGGTGTCCTGTGGATCAGGGCGCTCTTTGCAGCCTTGGCCGACTCTGAGATGCTCTCCGCCTGCTCCCCTTTCTGGGCCCCCATCCTCTTTCCCTGGGCCTCCTGGCTCCTTTCCTTGGAGTCTCAGCCCCAGGTCCCTGAGAGGGGTTTTGCTCCGTACAAGATGGAGCATGCTTGGTCCCGTGATCCTCCTCCCCCTCCTCCAGGCCACAGAAGGTTCTGGGTGTAGATCCTGCAGCTTGAGGTCAGATCCTGAGAGGGAATCCCCCTCCTGCCCCCCCTGGCCCTGCAAGGCCTTCCCTCCCCCCCAGGGCCTGTGCTGGGGCCCCAGGGCTTTCCCCCTCCCCCAGGCACATTTCTCAACCCCATTAATCACAGGGACGGCCCCGGGGAGGAGGAAGAGAGAACATGTCTTACCATAAAGAAGGAGGTGCGCCAGGTGCAGGCCCGAGGACCCGAGCACCCGGAGGTCATGAGGCTGGCGTTTGCCTGGATTCTTCTCTCTCTCCTGGCAGGTGAGTGACCTGGTGCTTGTTCCTCCCCCCCCCCAGGCAGTTCACCCTGCCATCCTGCCTCGACTCCCCTCATCCCCAGCTGTGGCCATCCATGCAGCCCTCACCCCTCCCAGACCCTCCCCGCCGGCCCTCTGACCCTCCGCAATCCCTCACCCCAGGGCATGGCCAGGCAGACACCCGTGCCATCGGCGCTGAGGAATGTCCCCGCCACTCACAGCCCTGGCAAGCTGGCCTCTTCCACCTCACCCGGCTCTTCTGCGGGGCCACCCTCATCAGGGAGCGATGGGTGCTGACAGCTGCCCACTGTCGTAAGCCGTGAGTGCCCTGCCTTGACCACACCGGGCAAGGGGCTGGGGGCCAGTCTGGGGGTCAGGGGCCGGGGGGCTGGGGGGTCAGGGAGCCTTCTTATTACAGGAAGGACAGGACTATGCAAGGCCAAGTCCCAACTCTTAGGATGAAATAGGGAGGAATTTCAGGAGCCTCCTCCATTCTAAAATCCTAGCGTTCCTACCAACCTGGTTCTAAGAATCTAAGAGTCAAAGCCTGTTCCTAAAAATCTTAGACTTGACCTCTAGAAATCCAGAGTCACCGGGCACCGGTGGCCCACAGCTGTCATCCCAGCTACTCAGGAGGCTGAGATCTGAGAAGCACAGTTCTAAACCAGCCCAGGCAGGGAAGTCTGTAAAGCTCTATCTCTAATGAACCAGCAAAAATCCCAAAGTGGAGCTGTGGCTCAAGTGGTAGAGCACCAGCCTTGAGTGAAAAAGCTCAGGGACAGTGCCCAGGCCCTGAGTTCAAGCCCTAAGACCCCCTCCCCACAAACACATACACACACACACACACACACACACACACACACA